ATGAATTGGAGATAAAAAACTTAACCTTCTTCTTGTCTTCAACGTTTGTTTATATCCTTTGGTCATCATTTCGCTGTCCCTTCCGACTTGCCATCTTGGTCGAAAGTCTATGCTGTAGCTTACCTTGTTCATGGTAAGGGGTGCTGTTCCGACGGAGAGGTGTTGTCGTAATAAATGCTGTGATGGGCTGCATTAATGGTGATGTGCAGTGGCGATAACTTTGCAGATCTTTGTCTGTCGATGTGGCTTGTCCTTTACCTGCCGTATGTCTGAAAGTCATTGGCTCTTTATGCTACGTTGGATTCTATCTGTTCTGGACTTTACCAGGTGGGTTATGTATTGAGCTTCCAAGTGATGGGCTTGGGTTGTTCATAATGGGCTATGGCCTTTATGGGCTTACCCTCGTCATTATCTATGAAAATTTCAATATAATGGTTATGTCTATCACTAATGATATACAAACATAATTAATCTCAATGAAAACATAAAATTTATTGAATTGTTAGTTACATTTGACATGTAGCGTTCATTCTCCATGTGTTTCTTTAGTATTGGTTGGTGATATCACATGTTAATGATGACGTGGTATTATTGTTATATTGAATTTTTACGGATATTTTGTATAAAAAATTATTTTATCATTATATAATTTATTTTAAAACTTTATATCCATAACTTTTTTTAATATTGTTCATGATACATTAATCACAAATAATATTTAGTTTATTTGGTTCTAGTTTTCAGAAAATAATTTTCAAAAAATTCAATATTTTCATTTTCCGTATTTTAATGTTTTCAATAATTTTTTTGAATAGTTTAAGCAATTTTTTTTTTAATTTTAGACACATCTAACATAAATATACCTAAAAAGTATAATATTTGTGAAAAAAATCTTTAAAAAATACACTAAATACCAAAAAATATGAAAATTCAGTAAATTTTTAGTATTTTTGTTTATTTATTAATTTTTTAAAATATATTTTCATAAATATTTTACTATTTGGATACATGTCTAAGCAATGTGTATCTAAAAAAGTAAAAAAAATATTTAAAATTTAAAAAATATTCACTAAAACCAAAAAAATACGAAACATAAAAAATTTAGTTTTCAGAAAATTGAATTCAGAAAACTAAAACCAAACATATTGATTATTATTTTTTATTTTTTTATCTTTCTTGAACTTAATGGTAAAAATTTATGTGAAATATTTTTATAAAAATTTTAATATTATAATTAATAAATGCCTCTTCTGATTTAATTTTTTGGCTTCACTACTAAGTGTGTTAATCATGTACTAAATGTGCCTATTGAAAAGCCCTACGTACTCTACAACAATTTTATATGCTTTATATTGGAAAATACATGTTTGGATGATTAAGGTTTACGGAAACATGAAGAAATGAATGGAAATTAAGTTAGGAGAGGAAATAGCATGAAACGGTTAGGAAAAAAGTAAGCAGCCTTACTAATTTGAATTTATCTTTTTGTGTACTTAAAATTCGGATGTGAGACCATCACCATTGAAAATTAGACTTCCAAAGATTGAATTTAGATTCAAGAAGCGCTTAAAATCGAGTCCGGATGAGACATAAGCTCATTTGAAGTTGCAATCTATGGGCTGAAACATGGTTGGCCGCACGTGCGCCCATATTAGCCGCTTGTGCGGTGGCTTGGCATCTCGAACGGTGTCCTAGGCCGCTTGAGCGGTGGCTCAGTGGAGACAGATTGTGTTCTACGCGCCCGTGCGCCTGGTGGTGGCCGCTCAAGTGCCCATCAAGCAGAACTCAAGTCAGGTGCGGATTCTTGGTGTTCTAACTCCCTTTTTTTCATCCTAAAACCTCAAAACATGATGTTTGATATATCAAAACATGAAAATATGACGAAAAGTCCATGAAAACTCATTTAGATGCATGAGTTCAAGATTTAAACCAAGAAAAACAAGCTTAAATCCAAGAACTTCTACTTGTGTTCTTCCTCAAACTTTATTCTATTTCTTCATTTCAATCCTCCAAAACATGATATTTGAGGCTTTAAGACATGAATAAATGGTAGGGGTTTGGTAGAAAAACATTCATATGCAATGAATTTAAGGCTTGAACAAATCAAAACATAATTTTTCTTACAAATTCTTCAAACTCCTTTTTCCAAACTCATTTCTATTTCTTCACTTTTAATCTCCCAAAACCTATCTCAAATGATTTTTTTACTAGATTATAGTCACAACAAATGTCAGAGGTGAAGTTTCTTACCTATTAATGAATTTTTCTTGATTTTCCTTGCTTTGTTCTTGAATTTCTTTGATTTCTCTTCTTTTATATCTAGTAAAAAGACAGGAGTGTGAATAGAGATTATTCCAAACTTTCTAATAAATTCATTATTTTTCTTGTCTTTCTACTAAAATGTGTTTTTAAGTCAAAATTAGTACAGCTCCATACTTTGTTTGGTCCTATATTTAGGCCTAGTTTGAGAAGACTAAATAAGTGTACTTTTACCTATTAATGAATTTTTCTTGATTTTCCTTGCTTTGTTCTTGAATTTCTTTGATTTCTCTTCTTTTATATCTAGTAAAAAGACAGGAGTGTGAATAGAGATTATTCCAAACTTTCTAATAAATTCATTATTTTTCTTGTCTTTCTACTAAAATGTGCTTTTAAGTCAAAATTAGTACAGCTCCATACTTTGTTTGGTCCTATATTTAGGCCTAGTTTGAGAAGACTAAATAAATGTACTTTTTGACTTTTTATGAAATATGGGTTGGGTTTGAAGTGATGTGTTAGAGAGGTGATGTGACTTAAATAAGATGATGTGACTTAAATAGGATAGTGACTTTTTGACTTTTTATCTTTTTTCAATCTTCCCAAACTAGGCTTTAGTATTTTACTCATAGTCCTCAATACTTTAATTATTTAGTACAAGTGAAACAAAGATAACTTATTGAGAAAGCCCAACTCACCATCTCAGATGTCCAACCCATCTTTACTCCATCTGGTTCACGGATCGTTGATTTACTGATTTCATCAATTAGAATGATACTTCCTACCATATTTTACTTAAAGTAATGATATATAAATAATAAAATTCATAGAGGATGACGTGATTTAACATGAACTTTTTACTTTAACACAAAACAGTTATAAATTTATTTACAAAAATAAAATTACCACATCATTCTTGTGACCTATTTGATATAAATTTTTATAATTTAAAAGTTAATAATTATAAAATAAAAAGTTAAAATTATCATTTCTTAACTTTTTAATATATTTTTTTTCAACTTAGGCCTCGTTTGGGAACATGCTTTTTTAGTAATTTTTTGGCTAAAATGTGTGTAAAAAAAAGTAGTATGTTTGGAATGATTTTTTGACTTTTTATGAAAAGATGTGCAAAAAGTAGAGAGAAAATAAAATTTTTGATTTTTTGGTATAAATTATTGACTTTTTGACTAAATCGACCGATTTTCAAACGAGGCTTTATGTTAAATTATTTTTGTATCTTAAATTATTACTAAAAGGGGTACCAACCAACACTCTAAAACACATCCAAAAATAATATTAAAACAAAAAAACCAAAAAAAAAAAGCCTATGCACATGGGTTCCACCAAACAAAATCTGAGTCATTTTGAGTCCACACCACACCAAAATTGACTCGGACGTCTCAACCAATTCTGGTAGGAGTTCAGTTGGAGACATTAGTTCTTTACCAAACCATATTGGGGTTTGGATTTTTATTTCCCAATTACATGTAGCTTTCAATTTTTATTTTTTTTACACTCATGTTTCATATTGTTTGAAGAAGTTGTGTTTTGCTTTTACAATCATGTTTTAATAATATTATTTTTAAAAAATTTAAGAATTGAACCTTTTCAAATATAAACCTCAAAAATTAGTAGAGTCCATTATATGTCCCTTGTTAATGATTTTAATCGATATTTTTATTTTATTTTATAATTTATCCAAAATTATATTAAGTTAAAAACATAACTTTTTAAACTCACTCTGTTTGGTTTTTTAAGTTTTCAATTTACATTTTTTGGTTTATATTAAATTTTTTTAATATTATAATTATTTTTAGATTCATTTAATCTACATACACTTAAAAAAGATAAAATTTATGAAAAAAAACTTTTTTTAAATTTTCATTGAATACAAAGAAACACAAAAAAGTATAAAAATTTAATACATTTTCATATTTTATTATATTTAATTAATTTTGAAAAAAAAAATGTACACATTTTACACTTTTTAAGACCATCTCCGACCCTTCACCAAACCTAGCATCAAATTTGAAATTTAGTGAAAAAAGCACTGTTTGGAACTCCAACGGTTTCATCAAATTGATATCAAATTGAGAATTCACCAAACGTTTCACCAAAAGGAGGACAGGCTCTGCATTTCACCAAAATACTGTGCATGACCGTTGGGGGAGACTAACCGGTCGACCAGTCGGTTGACCAACCGGTCGACCACCAAAAAGTTCAAACAGTTCCAAAAAAGTTCAAACAGTTGAAAAAAAAAAAAAAAAATTTGATTTATCGGTCGACCAGCCGGTTGACTAGCTGGTCGACTACTAAAAGGTTCAAACAGTTCAAAAAAAAAAATTCACAAAAAAAAAAAATTTGGCTTAACCGGTCGACCAACCGGTTATCCCGGCACATATTTGATGAAAATTTGATGAGAATCAACTGTTGGAGCACTCGATATCAGATTGAGGAAAAGTCATTTTTTTACTCAGATTTGATGAAAATTTTGGTTCAGGATTGGAGATGCTCTAAGTGTATCTAAATCAAGTGGATATAAAAAATAAGAATTGATAAAAATATTTAAAAACTAAAAATAAAAACTAAGAAAATTATTTTTAAAAAATTCTAAACCAAACAAAAACAACTTTATTGAAAAACACTTTTAATTATAAAATCAGTTCTATGGGGAGGTAGAAGCAAAAACCATCACAACCAACTACAACCAAAAACCATAGACAATCTACAAAGGTCTTGCACTATAACAGAACAACATTTGCAATGTAAAACAATCAATCAATCAGTTTTCCAGTACAGCTTGAGCCTGAGGGCAAATCCATCTCAAAATAATGAAAATAAAAACAGTTAAAGATTCACATCTGTTGTCACCTCTGAGGAAGAACAAATTTAAATGCAAATCCAAATTACTTGAAATTTAAACTCGAAACATTTCTAGACAATAAATTCCACTCCCCAAACCCTCATTGATCACCATGTTCCCCCCTCCCTACTGTAAAATTGTAATAATCACACCAACCCCATTACAAAAGCATTGGAGCCAATAAAAAAAATAAAATAAAAATCACATGAAACTATACAGCTGGTTAAAAATTAAAAAGACACCACCATCAACATCACCATATCAAAATTATCAAACAAATTCAATCTTGAAGCAGCAATACCCTCTTGAAACTGGCTGGCTGATACCCAAATGCTATTGCTAGACTGGAATTACATCGATCTTTGAAGTGTCTTCACATCTCAATATGATGCCCTCAAGGCTGGCAGGAAGAATACATTTGGTCCACTGGCATCCCGTGGGGATTGGCTCCGGCGGAGGTACAATCATTAGGACATTATCATTCCGCTGGACAACTCCCAATACACTCACCGTGCTACCTTCTTTGATGTGCCTGCATTTTCATTTATCACCACAAACAAGAACAATTTAGGTATGCTTTTTGGAAACAAAACCAAAAACAAAAATCAAGCCTATGGATGCGCGGCCAAAATTGGGCAGCTCCCATCAAACATTTATCAAGATCTTCTGGCCTACAAATACATTTTTTTCCACATAAAAGAAAGGCAACATAACCATATATTTTTTATTAGGATTAATTACACCAAGATCCTCTCAACTATTAGCGAATATTGCTTTACCCCCCTCATTTATAACCCCGTTCATATTGAGGGGGTCAAAATGTATAGGTTGATAGATGAGGAGAGTATAGTGATATTTGCTAATAGAAGAAGGGCCTTGGTGTAATTAACCCTTATTATATTATTATTATTATTATTAGAGTTAAACATGATTGAGCTTTCACTTTCCAAAATACCATAAAGGAGCATGCAGGACAGCCTTAAAAGAACTGAGTAGTACACAAAATTACCCTTCTTTCAATCGCATTATACGGTCATCACTTGAGAGGTTTCTCTCTCCCAACCATCTAATGAATTCCGGAGACATATCACCGTTTGACTGATTGATGTCAACAACAACAGATTCATCAACATATGGAGTCACCTTAGCACCATACCCAGCCTTAACCAATGCCCTCAACCCAGACTGGAAGTCAGAAATGTAGAAATCGACCACATGCCTCTGCAGTTATACATGAAATATTTTAATCATGCATGGTTGTGACTATTTCAAGCACTTTTTTAACTTTTCAACACAGACCAGATCCAAATATATATATATATATATAAATGAAGTAGAAGTGTTTTTAATGACATGAAATTCGTGTATAAGCAAATCAGAAAACTTCAGGGCTGCCAGAGCCCAAAAAAAACATGCCATGTCTAGCTTCACAATCTATTCAGGTATGAATTATAAGAATGAACTTAAGAAATCAGAATGAGGATTCAAGAGCATACTCTAATACAGTAAATTCAAATATGGTTAATGAAACACCTTTTTTTCGGGTCTGTATCGCTTGATAATGTTATCATTATTATAATTGTTTTTATTATCTTCTCACCTCAACTGATCGGACACCCCAAGTAAAGCGGCGATGTGTTGGGTTGGCAGCTTTTGAGTCCCAACCTCGGTACTCATACAAACTTGTAGACGTATAAACGCACCTCGGAATCTTTTGGAATGTTGATTCAAGAGGAACATTTCCACATGTAACCACCTTCAAGAAATTATAATCCACCTTCATTAAAACAGGCATATGCAGCAACTTACAGAAAACTAATGGATGCAATTCTAAGAACATGGCAACAAGACTGACCAACCAAAATATAACAATCACATCTTTACTTAAAATAAAATTTAAAAAAAAGAAAAGAAAAAGAAAAGAAAGAAAGAAAGAAAGAAAGGCCAGAAAGAAATAACACCGCCACAAGTCCATTGACTAAAAAATAAAATAATAGCAAATTATAATATTTGACAATGATGAATGAAAATTCTATCTGTCTTCTGTATGTAAAAATGCTCTAATTTGAGAAGGTTTTCCTCTCAAAACCACTGAAACAAGCAGAAGAAAGGAGACTTTTTTTTTAAGAAATAATAATAATAAATGGTTCATTGTATCTTGATTTTATATGTAAACATAAGAAAGTTCAGCTCTCCAGTACATCAACCTTAGAGCACTTGCTGACTTGCACTATATAACCTTCTCAACATGTCATGTCCACCACATTTAATTTGTCTCGAGTTCCTGTCCCTTTCAATTGCCTCGACCCTCTGCATTCTCTCATTCACCTTACACTTTTTCCTCTCTTAACATAAATGGAGGACATTCGAGAAAATATATCATGCTAATATTAATTTTCAGTGAACAAGATCTTAAATTTCATATATGAAGTTCTGTTCTGTGATGGTATCAGCTCTACCCCAAATAACGTATGAATAATGCTTGGGACCCCCTTTTGGGGGTCACCCCTTCACCCCCCTTTGCCACGTGGCGGGTGGTGATTGGAGGAGCAGGAAAAAAAAGAAAAAGAAAAAGAAAATGTAACCAATGAGAGAGAGAGGGGGTCAAAGGGGGTGGGGGAAAAGGGGGGATGAATCATTGTTGATAACGTATATAGGGTGTAAAAATAAATAAATAATAAATAATAATAATAATTTGTTTATAAATATATATATATATATATATATATATATATATGCTACAACATTTCCATAGACCATCAGACAACACAAATTGCTTGATCATTCATGGCTAAGCCACCATAACCTTAAGGTATCCCCTGATTCAACTTATAAGTTGAACAAAATCTGAAGCAATTATTTCTTGTAAAATCTCTCATGACTCAGATCAATTCTTGGTTTTAAGACTTCCTTGAAACTTCACAAATTGAAAAGAAAAAAAAGTACAATAGTTCACAGACTGGCCCGAACTATGAAATTCAAAATTTCTAAGGAGCATGATATTAATAGGGAACCTATGAAACAACTAATAAATATAGAATCTGCAAAGAACTATATAGTTGAAGCATTCTACTAGTATAGCATATGCAAGGGGAAAAAAGAGAGTATAGACATAATTTGAGCATTATTTAAGCTGTTCCGTACCCCAGAAACCTTAACAAATTGGCCATCCCTTGCAGTCCTAAGCTCAGCATCGGGATAACGAGCAATAAAGCCAGTAATAGCTCTTCTTCCCCAACAAGTATTCCAAGTGAACACTGCAGCAACAGCACCAAAAAGAACTACAACAACAACGAGAAGAATAGGATTGTGAACCGCCCCTAGTATAAAACCGCCAGCGATAAATCCCATTACAAACAGAAGAACCATTGCCCAAAGGATTGGCTTAGGGAAGCTCTTGCGGAACGAGTACTCTTCCTCTTGACTAAGGTTCGTAACAGCCTGATTGTGAACTATAGATGCATTGTGTAACTTGACTGAACCTGTGGAATCCAATGGACCAGAAGCTTTGCGAGGAGCCCCTGATGAATTTAGTGGGCCTGAAGAAATGGGTCCGGATGTAATAAGGCCTGTGGTGGGGAGAACTGGGGCTAGAGGGCCAGAATTTTGGCGTGAAACAGATGTTCCTCCAGCTTGAGGACCCGATGACTTCTTTATTGGCTCTCCATGCCTATTAAGGGGCCCAGAATTGGTCTTCTTTAGAGAAGCAGAACCAGAAACCCCAGAAGCAGAAACAGAACCAACTCGATTCACAGAATTGGTCATCAGTTGGCCTGAGTGCGAACCAGCACCGCCGAAGGACCCAGTCCTTGAAGGGGCATTATTTATAGGTCCGGATTTTCGCGATCTGGAGCCATCAACAGGAATATCAAACATTTTCCCGAGTTCTCCAGATTTTTTTATATCACCACCAGTGTAGGGCATGGCTACTGAGGTCATTGTGGGAGGCCTCTCTTTTGGTTGCTCAGGCCGGCCTGAGACATAGAGGCCATTGCTCAACTGATGGGATGGGAATCGGGAACCCATAAAGCTGAGTTGAGTGATCCCACTAGAAACAAGACAGACAACAGCACACACAGTAATGTGGAACTAGCCACAAAATTCCAACTATACAAACTTAAGAACAGAGTCTGAACACTCAACTTAGCGCATCCAGTTCCAGAATATAATTACACCTGATTAACAGTAGAACAAAACAAGAGTCTTGTGAGACATCAAAGCAATTTTAAGAACAAACAGAAAAACTTACAATAAAAACAGTGCCAAAAATTAGGGGGAAACTGTAAATTTATAAATTTTACAATAAAATAAACAAAAATCAGAGCAATGGCTAGATTTAGAACCTCGAACAAACCAAGAGATGGGCAATAGAATGCACTCTGCTCATGCTGAGGATTGCACCATTTCCATGTACTAGAACAGAACACACACACACAGACACACACACACACACACAGAGAGTCCCTAATCAGCCAAATTTAGGTTTAAGAACAGGTGAATAGATTAGATGGGTCTGAAAGAAAAATTCAGAATCTTAAAATTTTTCTAAAACTAAAAAAAAAAAAAAAGAATATTGTCACATTTGATGCAAAAATATATAGCATAGCAGATTATCATTTAATCAGTACGATACATGTACTGATACAAGCAGACAGAGAAAGGACATTGTATGATTAGCAAGAAAATCTACATAACACAGATCTGAAAAACAAGCAAACCAATAACAGTTTCAAGTACATGTACAACGAAATCGCAATCCAACTTTCCAGCAAAACAAACACAACAAAGTCAAAATAAACTCTAATTGATCAATAAAAATGAGAAAAATACAATATAGAATAATGATTCACAGAGTTAAAGCCACATTCCACTTCCAAGTTCCAAGATCCAAAACCAAGAAAAAAGACAAGATACCCATCACCATTTAACATGGAAAAGCAAAATGTGAGAGATCCAAGACCCTCAGGATATACACATTGATATGTACCAAAAAAAAAAAGGAAGCTATAATTCAAAACCCAGAATCCAAATCAAAATGTGTATTTTCCATTTTAGGCATTTTGGAAATCCCTCAGAACCCATGTGTCAAATCAGGACAAGAAAAATACCCACATTTCCATTTTGATCCAAAAGAGAGTGAAATCAAGAAACCCTAAACTGAGTTCAAACTCTTGAGACGAAGAAGAAGAGAATGAGAGAGGTATAAAGAGAGATAAGACAGAAATTTGAATACCTGAAACAGAGCTTGAAGCTGGAATTTGAAGGTGTTCAGACATGGTAGATCAGAGAGAGAGAAAGAGAGTAGAAAATTTTTTCCGAGAAAAGCTCAGAAAAGATATGATACAAATAACACTACACACAACACAAGGAAATAAAAAAAAAAGAAGGTAGAAACTGAAAACACACCATCCATCTTCTCTCTCTCTCTCTCTCTCTCTCTCTCCCTCCAAGTTTGCTACTCTTCTATTAAAATGACTATTATGCCCCTCACCACTCTATGGATTTTTAACTCTGCCCCCATTCACTTTCAAAATTTCTTTGGATTAATTACACTTTGTCCCATTTATATTTGGCCATTTTTTTATATATTATTTTGGCTGTCAAAGTGTTTTTTCTACTAATTTCAGCTCTTCATATTTCAATTTTTTTCAATTTACAACAAAAGCTAACTTATGTGAAATATTAGATAGAAAATGATATATTCACAATCACGTGTCATAAAAATATAAATTAATTATTTAAAAATCTTATTTACAAAAGTTATGATAGTTTAGTTCCTATTTAAATTTTTTTAAATTAATAAGTCCTATTTAGTAAAATTGAGAATATTATTAATTTTTTTCTAAATTTTAAAACTAATAACATAATTAATGTTGCATATTAATATTCCAGATAATTGTTTCACTAACTGATAAAAAAACAGAGAATGAGATTAAACGTTTTTGTCATTTTACTTATTATTTTGATTTAACCATCCAATGAAACCAAGAACATTAACAGTTTTTTTTTTCAGTTTTAAAACTGAGAACATTATTAGTTTTTTTTTATTTGTAAAGTTTTTTTTTTCAATTTTGCACATCAATGTTCCATTACCATGCTCATTTATAGGCATAAAATTTTCAGTTTTACACAAAAAAATAATTCAATTTTTTCAATATTTTCAAAAAAAAAACCTTAGTTTTTTTTTTTTTTTGCACATAATTTCTTTTTTCGTTTTTTCAATTTGAAAGTTAGTGTTTTAAAGTTTTGAAAATCAAAATAGATATCAAATCATCATGTTTCTTTATAGATAATTATAAATGATGAGCAATCATTGTTTGAAAGGTATTTTCAACTATTAAAAATTTAATAGGATTTAAAGGTCTAAAAAATCTTAATTAGAACTTAATAGAATATAAATTCATAAATTAAGAATTGTGTGTAAATGCCTCTAAAAACATTTTATTATGTATAACTTACAATTTTGACACAAATTCAAATTGTAATATAATAATATATTTTTATGTTATGTAGTAGCTAAGTGCTATTTTCTGTTTAATTTTGAACATAAACTAGCTTTAGGAGTAAATTGAAAAGAAAGAAGAAAAAAAAAAGAATTTGAAATATGAAGGGTTAAAGTGAAAAGAAAAAAAAAAGTTGAAGGCCAAAATGAGAAAATGACAAGATAAAAAGGGGGCAAAATATAATTTACTCAATTTCTTTCCTCAATTCAATTTAGGATTAATTACACAAAGACCCTTTCAACTATTAATGAGAATCACCTTAACCTCATAATATATGAATCCAATATCAATTCTCTCAACTATAAAAGTATATAACTTTCACTCATCCAGACCATCTCCAAAAGAGATATATTCGTACAATTTTCATAATTAAAGAGGTCAAATATGTATGAATTTATAAATGAGAGGCTAAAGTGACACTTAACAATAACTGAGGAGGTCTCGATGTAATTAACTCTTCAATTTATTGAAAAGGAAAAACAAAAATAAAAAAATAAAAACCGTTTTACTTTTCTGCACGTGTTCAGTTGTTATGGGAAATTTCTTTAAATATTTTGTTGTAATAAGTACAAGATTATGCGTCGTGAGAAAATTTTAATTGTTTTGTATATAAATTTTCTTATAAACTGGACAGTTGAGACAAGTAAACAATTTATATTGTCTTTTTCATTTCATTTCTTTTGTTAGAGGAAAAATAAATAGATAACATGAAAATTAATTTTCTCATAATTTTTAAATTTTTTTTGTTGTGTTCAATTAGCAAGAAAGTTATGGTATTCATATCTTGAGCTTTCAAAATATATCTTGCAAAAAATAAAAGATTTTGCAATAAACTCAAAAATACACTTTCTTTTTCTGGACAAATGAACACACATGGAAAACCAAGTTTATTTTTCTTTTATTTTACTACACTTTTCTTGAGAATAATTCTCATGTATTCATAATTTTTTTTCTCCCGCAATAATCGTTGAACAATTTAAATCTTTATTTTTTATAGTTTATTTCAAAAAATTTGAGATTTTCGTAACGTTATGTTTATTCACTATTGCCAATTACACTTTCTAACTAATTTGGATTTCCTGCAAAATTTGTTATAATTTCAAGCAAATATAGTGAAATTTTTTGAATGGTTTACTTTTTTTTTTTTTTTTTTTCTTTAATTTGAAAGTTCCTTTAAAAGAGTTGTTAGATCCTTTGAAAACTTTTACTCAAATTTGAGAAGAAAAGGCTGTAGACCCCCATTCATCAAGAGCAATTTGAATGCCTAAATGAGTTCTTTATACTCATTGATTCTCCAATTCTCCTCACTGTTGCACTCTCCAAGAAATATGATAAAATAGTAAAATAAGATTAAAATTTTGATAGAAATAGTTTATTATTATATTTGACTGAATTTTTTCCTAAAACATTATGCAATCTAATATACAAAAGTTCTTCTAAAATAGGGGTTTAAGAGGACAAAATTTATACAATTTTTACTTTTATTTTTAAAGAGATTATTTTCATGACTTGAACCCACCTCACAAAAAATGATAACATCAAATCTTATTGTTTGGATAATTCACCATTTTTAATGAAAATTATTACAAAAATAAATAAATAAATAAAAGACATTTACTTTCATTAAAATCCAGCACAACATTAAAATCAGTCTCACCATCTTTTGGAAGGAAAGGGGATTTCTTTCTAATTCTTCCTTCTTATTTTACATTGTTCTAGTATTTATTTTTTATGATTTCCATAAAATTTTAGTAAGCATGTCGTTGTCACAATGGAAACAACGTAACAATGGTGTCATATTAGTAAAATAAAAGTTGAAATGCCAGTCATACCCTTCTCGACTTCAATGTATTAAATTGTCACTTCTAAGAACAACCGAAATTGATAAATGAGCCATATGAGCCAAGTTTGTACTAAACTTATTCCGCATCATTTCTCTAAATCACTATTACTTGATTAAAATACTCTAAATGCCTTCCACTTATGATCAATTGATTTTGAATTGCACAATTTAACAACTTGGATGAACTTTCTTAATACAAACAAAATCAAACAAGTTATATAGATATCTAGTCTTGTAATCAACAAGTATTCATCAAAAAGTGGTTGAACTATAATTGAATGGCCAATCAATCCATCATCGCCATCACTTAAGACATTTTCTAAGGCACAAATGTATAGTTGCTAGGCAGGCATATAGCTCTGTTGCCACGTCATAGACTCAATACAACAATGTTCTTGTCAAAGTCAAGACCCAAAACACTATCCTCCCAAAACATATATTTAGATGGGGGCACTCAAAGCATAAGTGCTAAAAAAAAGCTCAAATTGAAGGAATATTCATAGTCGACAATTTCAAAAAAATGTACGAGTTCCAAGAGCAGAAGGATTAAACGAATGTAACACAAGAAAAGAAAAAAAATCATCATTAATATCTATTGCAATGCCTAATTTCTTAGTTGGGACAATATAATTGCACGAAGAAAAATGTTGTGTATTGATGTTTTGGTGATCACAAGTGGAGTCACACATGAACACCTTTGCTCTTGCAACACAAATGTTGACCGGAGGTTGGTGAAGCACTCTGATTCCTAAGTCATAAATGATATAGAGAGAGTAAGAAAGAAGTGAAAAAGTTAATATATATATATAGAGAGAGAGAGAGAATCTAACCTTTATTTAGTGTATCCGCGCAATTATAAGGGTGGGTATTCTTTTATAGCCACTCTCACCTTACTTTTCGAGAATCGCTCTTCCTTCTACGATTGAGTTCCCTTAAGTATAATTTTTTTCTTTCATTACTCTATTCTTTGATTTGGTTGGATTACTTCCAACTTCTATTCCGACAACCTCAAATTGCGATTAACATTATCCTAGTTAAATCGTCATTGGGCGTGACCTTCTTCTTATTCAACACCGGACATATTAGTATTATTCAATGGATATGTTTCACTTGAGCTGCCTAGATTCCAAGTTAATTTTTTCTTCTCCAATAATATGACCCATTTACTAATTTATTAAGGAGGTATAACCAAAAGCTAATAGCTATATTTTTAATGGCAAATATGCAAGAAAGGAGGCTTCTAAGAAGTTTCTATAACTAAGGGGTTAGCACCAATTTAACAGTTCACAAACACATGCCCACTAGGCTTCTTGTTTCTTATTGCTAGATGTGATGGAGATAAGCTGGCATATGTATAAATGTCAAAATGAATAAACACCCCCCCCCCCCCCCCCCAAAAAAAAAAAAAGAAAAAGAAAAAGAATAATAAATTTATAATTACGAATTGTCAATTCAGGTAGCAATCATATACCCATCAATATTATATGTTGCTGTTTTCGTATTAATGAAAAAAGAAAGAAAAAAAAAACAATTTCTAAGCATCCGAATGCAAAGAAAATAAATTTATAAAATTGTTCGGTTTTTACTTATTTATTTGAAATAAAGTAAAGGAAAATTTTACTCCCAACCTGTCATCTTTCATGAATCTCATTTTACATTTGTGATAAAAAGGACTATAAAATTGTTAGAATTACATTTATATAAGTTATTGTATAGATCTCATAAGACATGGAATTAAACTCAATCTCATATAATTTTTACAAAGAATTTTACAAAAAATAATACAAAATTAGGTGAAAAGTCTTGATTGATCACTTTAAAACAAAAAGACAATTAAAGTGACTTAGATTTTCAAAAAATTGACCATCATATAATTTTGGTCATGAATTCTACAATTATTTTTTATAAGAATAAAGAGATTTCCCATTTTTGGAATTGTAGTTCTATTGTTCAGAGGTCTCATGGAGGAGGCAGT